GAAACAACATCCGCGTCCAGTGGGAAAAGGAATGGAAAGAGTCTGGAGAAGGCGGACATCTCCGTACCATTGACAACGCACTACCTGCCAAGTACACCAGACGGCTTTACGGGCCTTTACCGAGGAATCGAGCCTACCTACTCTCGCAGCTACGAAACGGACATTGCTGGTTAGCGACGTTTACGAAGGTATTTCACTTCCAAGACAATGACCGATGCGTCTGTGGGGACCGGGAAACACTGAAACACGTCTTGTGGGACTACCTCGATCTCAGGGAGTTGCGGCGGGAGTTGCGGAGGAAAGTCGGTGACACGTTTTGTAGCGTGTCGAGCTTGCTGGGGGGTCCAGGAGAAGAAAGGAGAGGTCATCTAGATCATGCCTCGCGAACAAAAACGGTGGATGCTGTATTGGATTTCGCGGAGGCATCACAAAGATTCCGAAGTCGCGCGCCACGAGGGCAGCTTGACAACGTGAACGGCAATTAGCCCACGAAAAGCCTTGGCGAGGCTCTAAGTTCGTTCCAGGAAGTGGTACACTTCACGTGTACGTACAAGGATATATAGTCGTGGTAGCCTGCATATCGCTTCGGCGAGGGGTCAGGGTAAATGAAAACTACCTACCTACCTACTGTAATTTTTGTCCGGATATATCCTTCTGTCAGCCGAGCGGAACGCATCCCTTGCTTGGTATAGCATTCTTGCACGGAGCTGCAGCTCCGGTGTTGTGACTGCCCAGTATCGGAGCATTGGATTAAGGGATATCTCGGAACCTGACCTGACTTGACACACGTCTATCTTGAATTAAACAATTGACTTTTGCTTTGGAAGCATAACCACTGTCCACTTAACTGCGTACAGGGTACCTAGCTGGTGATACCAAGAATTTCCAAGACCAGACCACTAGGAACATATCGGGTTTCCGAGTAGAACCACATAAACTTTCTGTTCACTTCTCCAATTCAACGCTCGTGTAATGCCCTCGATCCTCGACTCGCCCTACTGTCATAGGTTGCACAGGAATGGGACCCATTCCACGCTTTTCGTCCGTGCACCCTTATACGTGATTTGTCCGTGCATTGTCAACCAATCGCAGCAGATGCGGTGCATCCCAGTAGACTATTTTGATCCGATTCCTATCAAAGTCGAAAGTGCTCTTATAGATCGCCAAGCGCTTAAAAGATTGCAACGCAACTATACACAGGCTTCAACGTGAGCCCGAGAATTTCCCTAATACTCTGGGTTCCTTGACACAATTGGCCACAACAGGTTCTTGGACGATGAGCACGCAGGACAAGAAAGCAGAAAGCTGGGATGGGGCACATATTTCAATTGACGAGAGCGTACAATCTCGCCTCGCCCTCTGGTTGTATCAAGAGCCTAGGCGTAATTGTCGTAACGCTAGGGTAACCTCATGGTCGGCAGTATCTTTCCGTCCATATAGTTCGAATCCCACAAGTAATCTTTTCAGCCAGCTTTTCTGGTTCATAGCGAGCCTAGCAATGCTACAATTGCTTTCTAACTTGAACAAGCCGGCAATTCTGATTAAACTCGGTCTTAGCCTTTCGACCATAAAGTCATCCAACAAACCCTCTTCTTCGATCAAGAAAATTGTCAGGAGGGTATAGATCAACCTAGAGGAAATAGGTATACTGAAATTTTCCGCGTCATTCCTGAGTTTAGAGTCGACTATTAATGAAAAATGCGAACTCTGTCTTTGCCCATCCAGGTCGGCGCCAAGGGTAAGATATTGCAACCCTCGAACTAATCGTCGTCGCATGTCGCTAAGTCGTTGGAAAGGAGTGCCGGGGAGGCAGGCCATGCAATTGCACGCAAAGCGCAAGGCTTCGTGACGTTCATATCTCGTTCTGCCTTCAAAATCTGTATTATAACAAAAGGTGATCTCTTCACCGGCATCGATGTCCCGAGTCGCAAAAGCTGAAATGATCTCCCCACTACTAGTGGGGATTTTTGAGTTTGGTATACACGAATGATTGAAGCGGGAGTGAAGAGGAAACAGGCCATGAGCTGGAGGCTTGCTGAGGTCTGAGGCTGCTATGCTGAAAGAGTTCTCGGCGAAGGCTTCATTAAAACTTCTGAAAACCCTCGATCCATTTTCCCGAAGGAGTAAGAATACTGCTTTCTGACTGTCCCACAATTTCTGAAAGGCCATTGTGACATGCTCGTCCGTAATATCTGTATGTGGCCTTGGAATAATGAATAGTGGCTTTTCGCTCAAAATCCGGGAACCTCGCTCAATGCGTCTTGTGGCGAAAGCACCCCATCCTTTGCCCAACGACGGACGTAGCTCCAATGGTGTATTGCTGGGTATTTGAAGACTGCGATATGCTTGCACAGAGAGTTTGTTAGCCTTAATACCAGGCTATGGAAAGGTTAACCAACGGTGGCTGGAAGAAACTTCGCCAGAACTTGACATTTTGACGATGAGAATGGAGAGAATAGTAGCTTGGGTGCAATCAATCAAGGAGTGGCGTCGTGGGTCACGTTTAGTATGAATATACGGGACTAGCCCTAACGCACGAGTATTGTACATCCGGGTGCTTCGGAAGGGATGTTCCCTGACTTCTCTAGCCCATAGATCAGTCTGACACGTCGTGCAGCGGAGAACCTGGCCAAGCAAATTGAATCGACTCCGACCAATCACAATTTGACAGAAGCGGGGTTGGGCAGCAGTGCTTTTAGACCGACCGCGCTTTTCGGGCTAATACATATGATACACTGAGCCCTCAAAGCCAGAAAGCTCCACGAGTCTTGGTATCACGCCTAGATCTCGCCAAAACCCGTCCGCGGACACCCCTAACACGTCCAAAAGTGTCCAAAGCCGCCCAAAACTGCATAAAATTTCCGCATAACCCGATGACTCCGCAAAATAAAAAACGGTTATTTGCACTAGTTACATTCATTACAATTCCTTTTCGTGGCAGCTGTTCTGAGTTCATTTAATCATATAGAATCTCTCATGTATTCTTCTCCTACATGAAATACTGATTTTTATTTTGTTTGTGGACACATGATATCTGCTTGTTGTGCTGTAGGGTTTTATAAACTGAGAATGCTCTAGCGAGAAAATATATATTTCTTCAGTACCTCCAGCACAAAATTTAAGCTGCCTCTGATTTTACTCTAATACCAGGAAAAACAGCAGGACCTCTCATTCGTTACTGTATCTATACCTATTAGCAATTTCAACTCTGCTACAATTATTCCTCTATAGGCGTTAACTACATGCGACTCAATACAGCAAATTTCTATATAATTCTATGAATGTTACAGTGTCGCCACTTTTGACCCATTGGGCTATCCAAGACGTCCGGTGGACGGACGGGGGGCCCCTCGACCCGCCCACCGGACACCTTCTGGTGTCCAAACCCGCCCATGGACCGGCTTGGACATATTCCTCGATGGGTGAATTGGACTTTGGCGAGGTCTAATCACGCCTACTTCGTTATACCCTGTGAGAACTCAATCAAGTCTCGCTTATCAAGTACCAATAACTACTCTCCTCGTTTACCAGGTGCTTAGTCAGCGGCGAAGTCCAACATAGAGGGACCTTTCATATGTCAACGCTCTGTAGTGATTTGTCTGGCAAGTCATCTCCGTCAAAGTAGACTAATGTGATCAGACTTGAATTGCTGAGCAATACCAACGAATCAGGCTCAGACACTTTATGCGATAACAGGGGTTGAGTATGCTGTTTCATTAGCTCCGAGTCCTCAATCAACTGCAATGGCCACAATGCCTGCAGATTCACGTATGGGGGCGTTTTTCCCTAGGCGCATTCTCATTGCCTTGAGCGGCATGTGAATATCAGCAGGCCAATCTCATAGTGGCATAGCCTCATAGATCAGCCGGGAACTTATGTGTCTAGACTTATGTGACTAGCTCGGACGAATTCAACGAAGGTGGGCAGTTGTGTGTGAGCCCTGAGTCATTCGCGCTCTTCCTCTGCCTTTTTGCGTTCTCTCTCCGCATTTTCACACAGGGTCCTGTAGTCGACAGTCTCTGGCATTCTCCGCGCACAGTCAACCAGTTGCACTTTTGAGGTCTATCTATCTTCAAGTGGAAAGGGATGGCCCGCAAGACACGAAGCGTAGAGGAAGCATCACGTGAACGTCCGCATATAACCAATCAGCGGCCAGTATACCACCATGTAAGGCCTAGGCTATTATGTGACCACTCGTTCGGGAGACATGGTACTGAGCCCAGGGGCAATGTTCTGTGGGGGGGGGGGTTTAATAAAGCCTAAAGATTGCCCACTTTCTTTTTCTGATCATTGAGCTGAGTTTCGTCCTTTCAAATAATCTCTATCGCAGTGGGGTAAGTAGCAGCGGAAAGAAATCACGACAGCTGGGCGGTCAAAGAAGCATAATAGGCGATTTTTCTGAGATATGCTGCTCATCGATAGCCTTCCTGTAATTGTTCTCTGATTTCTCCTCTGTGTCAGCGCGGATGCCTGCTTTCGAAGGCACCCAGTCATCACTGGTGCCTCATTCATATGTTTTGCAGACACACAGCCCCTACCGACTTCGGCCAGGTGGATTGGTTATTATATACATATATGTTCTTTTTGACCTCGTGCTCTTTAAGTGGTATCTCTTGCGCTATAACACTGTTTCGGAACCTTGCTGAGTGTCAAATTGGCCATCAGACTGCCATCAAGCATCTCCCTCTTCAATATTCACACTAATCAGAAGTTTACATTCAATTGGCGACAAATTTCTTTGGCGCCCAAGTGCGCAGCTTCTTTCTTTGTTCGAGCCCTACCAGGGCAGGTGATATTTCCATACTGGACCATTACCTTGAACAAAGGCGGATCCAGTGTGATTGTCTGCTCCTCAATTCGCCGGAGCCTTTTGTTCTCTCTCTGGCCTCTCTCGTGTAGCGTGGAGGTGTACTGGTGGAGGGCGACTGCGTGAGCACTATCTTCTCTAGGTTACGAAGGACCTGGATTGGAAGGTCTCGATAAGGAATTTTCCACACTCGTCATTCCATGGCTGCGACAATGCGCTTGTCCGGTAGCAAAAGGAGAGAATATGTCGACGAGAGTCCATAAAAGTGAAATCTTTGCGGTTCAGGGCAGAGTGTGTAGGTCTGCCCAAGCAAGGCGACTACGAGGTTCCGGGCACTGCCATCTTCTCCGATAGCTGTTCGAGGAGCGTCTTTGGCGATTTTGGCAGACGTCTTTGTTTCCGTCCAGTTGAAGGTCTGAAAAGCATCTTTGCAATAGGTGAGTCTGGCAGCCATCGAGAGGTGGCTGAAACAGCGCGCTAACCTCAGCCTCCTTGCGCGACATCTCAGAGCTAGCGAAGGACGAGATTACTGATATTTGAAAGAGAAGAGTGCCGATAAGAATATCTGTGAATGGCGTGCGTTTGTTCAGATGCAGATGGGAAATATATGGCCATTAGACTCGCTATCAGAGCTGGTAGGTTGACTGTTGTCTTGCAGACTGGTCATGCTAATGGGTTGGACTGATAGCAAAGCAGTATCCTAGGTTTTCGAGGCGGAGGGTTAGTGAACCCCGTGGATGGTCTCTCCACTCCCCTTGTGTGAGATAGTTTCTTCAAAAGAATTCAACCAGTACAAATTGGAAAATTGGCCAAATGTGCCTCACCGTAAGGCTTTAGCCTGGAGACGTGGTATCTGATTCTCCGATTTACAGGCTCTCAAAGTAATTACACGAGGAAGTGATATAACTAGGCCGTGACGTGCCATCTTTTTTTTAGCATGTTTTATCCATGCGGGTTTGGTCGTATCGCCAACTGACTTTCGTGGCAGACACGGCTCCATTTGGCTCCACAGAAATGCAAAGGGAAGCATACATGGCCGATATAAACTCTCAACTTTGAGACTGCAGCAGGGAGATGCCTGTGCACAGCAGGGTTAGATGGAGCCTTGCACGACGATCCGCCGTGTGACGTAGCTTTAATCTAGCTTGCGCCATGTAGTGAGTGAAGAGAACCGAAAGAAAAAGATACTCGTTGGCAGCCGCCGCAATAAATGACAGGGGACAGCCATTGGAAGCAAAGGGACAGGAATCAAAGAACTACAGAAAAATGGCTAGCGTTGGGCAGCAAAGATAGACGATGGGATTGCCCGGGCACAGTGAGTCAGAAGAGGTATAGCGGGGCCAAGAGGATAAACTTGAGAGTATATATACATGTACATCATACTTACGGTGGGCATATTTCCAGGTAAAGAACACTCTGTATGTATGTAATCATTATTCTGAAAAACTGCTCGAGCAGGACGCAATGAGCGGAGGATATCGAGAGGCTTCACTGATGTTCCATCAGCCTAAAAGATTGCGATTGCTCTATGAGCCCCTGTGCTTGTGCTTGCTCTTGCTCTGAACCCTAAGCAAAGTCCGGGGGGGTCGAATAAAGCCAAGTGATATGTCCCCCGAGGGCTCGGGGTAAAGTTAAAGTGTCACTAGAAGCTATTGATCCTTTGTGGACGCCATTGCCTATATATGTGCGTACCGGAAAAAGCCTGGTTACGTCACCGCGGCGGCCCTAGAACGGACCACCGATGCGATAGTGATTCTGCTAGCTGCCAACGATGGCATTGATACGGCGGTCTTCACCCTTCTGGAGAAGTTTCTCATCATACTTTCATGGATCATCAAAAGTTCTACAGTCCGACTGGACACGAAAGAGGGCCGAGAGGCGATGAAAATTTTTACTGCCCACGTGCCGGACCTGAACGCCCCCAAGATCTTCGAATACTATCAACAGGTGAATAAACTTGTCTCATTGGGGATGGGACGTACTGTACTCAGCATGACATAACGAGGGGGTGAAGAAGTGAGGGGTAAGCTGATTGAACTTCGGTGAGTTCAGTACAGGAGTTCAGTCACCTAAGCGCTCGATCAACCTGCTAGGCAGATGATGTATCGAGCTTAAGGATCAGATCGCGTAATAAAGAAGGATTTCAGCCCGTGTGGTCAGGTCGCTCAATTTCCTTTGTGCTTGAATTTATTTCCGAAAAAATATTTTCCCTTTTATGTATATGAGTTAATTATAAAATACCCTCGACCACACAACTTTGCAACGTGGCTCTTATGGAGTTGTCTAAGCCAATAGCGCCGTAGGTAAGCCCTAAGAGTTTCTATTACGGGCCATCCAGTCAGGTCGTGACACATAAAACCAGCTCATCGAACATTTACAGGCCAAATGCAGCCAAAAGCCGTCAACTGCCCTTGAGATGACAATATGTATGTCCCAAATCTTGTTTATATATAATATCAAGACCGTTGCCATACTCTCGAAGTTTCTTTTCTTTCACAGTGCATACGATTTGACGCTCTAAGACAAATTAAAAAAGAAGTAATTCGCCTATGGCTCCACCAGTTAGCAAAAGCGACAAGTTCTATGCGGTCTACAAAGGTCGTGTTGACAAGCCTACCATATATTCATCTTGGTAAGATTAGATCCAACTTGGCAAGAGACGTTTGATGCACTGACATGTTACATGCCTAGGAGTCAAGTGCACCCAAGAGTCATAGAATGCGAAGGCGCCGATCATCAGAAGTTCGACACAATCGAGGATGCCCGCAGGGCAATGAAAGAGAGAGGCTTCGAGGAAAATGATATAGACGTTGATATATTTGACAAAGGATCAGCTGAAATCAAAGTCACGTCGTTGCGAAAAGGCAAACACTATGCCGTTGCAGGTGGCAAGTCTACCGGAGTGTTCATTGCTTGGAAGTAAGTCTATTTTTTTCATAGTCCAACACAGATAACTCACATAACATAGGGATGCGGAAAAAGCGATCAATGGAACGACAGCGTGCCAAGAATGTTTTAGCACTAAGCAAGAAGCAGAAGAGTTCATTGAGAGTTGGAAAGACGCCTACGCTGATGTATGGCGAAGGGCAATTCGACAAGGATTGAACGAGGGATGGAAGGCTAGGGACATGAATTTGAACATTGGATCATTCTTGCTTAGGGAGAATAACAACGAGAGGCTAAAGGAAGATGGCCACGAGGTGGTCAAAACGGCTCAAAATAAACTCCCGAAGATTGAGCAATTATCTGTCAAAGAAGAGCACCAAGAATAGAGCGTTCGATCTAGGATTACGTTTGGGGTGGGGCTCAACAAGAGAAGGCCAACATGACCGAAGAAGAGCTCTACATGGCGCCGGGACTTTGGAACTTCTTCTACAACAAATTTAGCAATGAATGTCATGCAATTCTACCTACTTTACTGAACCCCCCGTAGTTACACAGTGGCACCTCATATTGCTGCGGAAAACCGTAAACTACTCAGTATTCTGATAGCCATCCCCACACTATCAGTGAAACTCAGCCCCCCCCCTATGGTAGAGATCCGGCCCAAGTCCGTCAAGAAACGCTGTAGTAATGGTTCGTGGAAATGATGGGTAAAATGTTGAACGAGCTAAGCTACTTTTTCTCCTGGCCTCAATTAAAGTATTAGCCTGAAAACAACAATTGCAGCTATACAAATAAACACTCGTGAAACCAATAATATGTCAATTGCACCTGCAGTCAACAGCACTATGTTAAATTAAATCTCCTAAGCGCCATGTACGCCAACGCCAAAGTGGGTAGTTGCTAAATTATCTCATAAATAGGGATTGCTTTCTTCACATTCTCGACCCAGCGCCGAATGTCTTCTACGAACCGTCGAGCAATACCTATCTTTATGCCCTTTCCGATAAAGAATCCCGGGTCTTGATCCTTGTAGACTTGCTCAAGATCAAGACCGTTGTCGATCATCATGTCACAGATCTCTCGGAATGCAGCCTTGAGAGTGTCATCGCTGACATTTGACACCTGCCATTCACCATATTCAATGACCGCTTCATCCCTCGGTCCAGTGATCTCAAGCGAGCCTGGAGATTGCATGGACTGGTATTCAGCGGAAACCTGTGCAGCTGCAGAGGTGGAAAACTGCGAGGGCAGGACATTTATGTTGATAGCAGGGTACGGTGTTCCATTTCCAGTGACATGTCCTCCTTTGCGATTGGTCTTTTCCTGTCTCTGTTGTTCTTCCATATATAATTCTTCGCATACTGTTTCTGGCACATCCTTGTGCCCGTCTAACACCCCACCTTTTTCGACGTGGGTAACGAGCCGCTTCAGATGATGAGTCTTCAGTTGGTAATACTTTTTTCCCATTGGATCCACCCAACAATATGGACCCAATGGGCAAGTCGAGGATGCGCATCGCATCAGATTGTAGACGCTGCGCCAAATAGGTCTTTCTCCAGAAGGATCCTGCTCGGCATCAATCTGAGCAGCTCTCTCTTCGAGCATTCTCTTCGTGACAGAGGCTTTTCCTCTTTTCTCCCCTTTCCGACCGCGGCTGGAGGAGAGTGACGATCGTCTACGTAATTGAAACTGATCTTCAGCGTGAGCTCTTTACCCCGGGAGAATAGACCTGACCACATCAGACGCTGCTTCTCGATGGCGGTCCAAATGATTTCGGTATCATCAAATCGTTTAGTCAAATTGCGCTGGGTTCGGTCGTTCACTGAAACGACAATCGCAGTGTCATCAGCTCTCACCTGACGATGACGGGCAATTTTTCGTCGAAGAACTTTCTCTAATTTCTTCTCCAAGAACAGCTGCCAAAAGGCACTAGGGGCTAAAACAAGGTCTTCCTCCGTGTCCTTTGAAACCTCTCGATTGTTGACCGTAACACGCCACTCTATACGGTAGTGTATACAGGTTGGCGGGTCCTTGTCATATACTCTTCCTTCTTCCCATTCAGACAACTGGAGCAGCCTAAGGATATCCGACCGTGACTGATCTTCTAGCATAACAGAGGGGGAAGGACTGTAGTTGAACCGTGTTGCATTGGGACTACCGAAATATCCAGGTGTTGGAGCTGATGAGTTGTTTTCCCATGTTGCAGGCTCTTCGGGCGGAGAGATGCAATCGTCATGATATGGGCTCTGTGTCATCTCTGCAGTACGATGGCGGTCCTGGGAGAGCCCATGTCAGCTTCCCCAAGTACCGGATTTCCTTCGGACTTGGTAACGAATGAGAATCGCAGTGGATAACAGAAGCCAAAACTAGAGAGAAACAAGTTGCGTACCGGGATAAGTTCTCTATGGCGTCACTACAGCCTTCTTTTGGATGCAAAAGAGTGTGGGCGAAGGATGCGCGTGACAAATAGACCAAGACATGAGAATGAAAGAAGATCTTGCCAGATTGTTAGGAACCTCTTGTTGTTTGATCTGTTTGCACGATGGATTCCATCGGTTTCTACAAGAA